GTCGGTTGACGTTTTTTCTCTGGCTTTCTAGGTGGGAACACGATCCCGCATGGGCTATTACTTCCAAGTTGTTGATCTCCAAGCATCAGCAAGTGCAGCTGCTCGAGGCTGCCTCGGTCTTGGTCAACATGAACCAGGATGGGCCGGAAGCTGATTCCGAGGTGTCGTCTGCCTCGCCTGACGCCTCCTCCGAGGTGCGCGATGGCCTCAGCTCCGCTGAAACCACGCCGCCCCCCATGGATGAGGACGACGACGACGATGATGATGACATGTTGATCGAGCCACCCACCGGAGGCAAGCGATACAGTGTCGGCAACATCTCGGCCCATTTCTCCCACTCCTACCAGTCCGGCCCGTCCAGCTCCTTCACCGGTAGTGCTCCCTGGGCGTCGCCCGCCTTCTCGCACTTCCGCCACTCCAGCATCGACACCCGACCGTCGACGGCCGAAGCCAAGTTGCATGAAGATGACGAGGCGGATCTGGCTGCCGCGATCGGACTCTGCACCTTCGGAACGCCCCGAACGGGGCCTGTGGCCATGTCTCCCAGCGTGCCCCCGGTGCCGCCCCTGCCCAGCCGCTTCCTGGACCAGAATGGCTCCGCGAGCAACCACAGCCAGAGTCTGGATCAGTCCAAGACCAAGGGCCTGGCTGATACGGCGATCCTGGGCTCCAGTGCGAACCTCTTCCCCTCGCTCTCCTACAACCCGTCGCTGTCGTATAAGGTGTCGGATGAGCGCGAAGTGCGCATGGGCGATGCCGACCGTGCGTCCCGACAGACTCGCAATGCGGATGTTGACTTTGGAAACCGTCCAACGGCGGACGACGATGACGACGGCGTTTTCGGTCGGATGGAGGAGTAGAGCACACCGCGCGCCGTCATCTCCATCCATTCTTTTTCTCCCCTCGCTTATTTATTCTCTCCGCCCGGTCCCCCCGGATGGCTGCTCCCTTGCAGAAACTTACGATATGTATGAGCTTGTGCGCGCTTTTGCGATTGTCGATGTGATTTGGTTAGTTGTGCTTGGAGTTAAAACACCCCTTTTGCGTGTATGACGATTTCAGGGATTGTACCACCCAACTGTGCCTTTGTGCCGCTTGGGCCCCTGACTGCATGATGGACCCCGGATTATCCAGCATTTTCTCATTTCTTTTGTTTTGTTGTGTCGTTCACTAGTCCTCACCACTTTACTATGTTCAAATTCCCATGTACCATTCCCCTGGCATGATCCTCTCCGCCGGACATGGCTGTGCATTTTCATTTATTTATAAAGACCACTTGCATGCCCTTGGGCTTTCTTTCGTGTACACAGATCCCGATGGGATGCTTGAATGGATATTGGTTATATATCGTTTTCTTCCATTGCATTGCATGCATTTCTATGTCTCTTTTCTTCCGATTCCGTGCGACGCATTTCTGCATCACCGAGCCAGTGACTGATACTGAGATTCGAGGAATAAACGTACCAATGACTCCACAAACATCACATACATTCCACGGGTTGTCATGTCTCATACCAGAATCCCAAGGGACAGGTGTCGTAATGCTATTCTTTCAATACATCGATGGGAATGCTTCTGTCAATGTACGGAGTATGCCTGCATCTCTACGGAACAGTCGGAAGTCCGAAGATCCCTCCGCAAGGCACTGTAGTTTCATTGATTCCCATTGGAACGGATTTGCGTCATGTGCGGCTATGATTCGCCCTGGAGCCCTGGCGCGGGAACTCTGGTCGATCAAGGGATTGTTTGATTTCTAAGTAGTCTAGTCCAGGTCGGACGATCCAATGTGTCAGCATCGGAGTTGACAGCCGCTCTGCAAGGATGGTTGTTATTCGAGGATTGCTGTAGCATGGAGATTCTTGACGATCTTCGAATTATGAATTATTGACCATCGCATATGAATACATTGTCATTAATCCAGTAATGCTAACATAATAAACACCATTCATCTCTTATGTTGATACACATAGCAATGGAACAATCAATAAGCCATATTCCCACTATGAGTCCGCGCCAACTCTCCCGATCTCATTTCCCTCTTGTTCTTCCCTTTGCCTCCTTCGCGCATTGCGGCGTCGCTTCGCCTGGCTGGGTCGCTTGCGCTTTCGTTTGCGCTTCTCTGCGCTGGTGTCTGCCACGAGACTTTCGGTGTTTTCCTCACGTTGCTGCTGTTGCTCCTGCTGCTGCTCTTTCTGGTGCTGGTGGTGCTGTTGCTCCTCCTCCCAGCTGATGCTGTTGCGATAGTGGCGGTGGTGGTGGTGATGGTGGCAGCGGAGGTGCCTGCGGTTCTTGACTACCATCAAACAGCTCTCTACAAAACTCGAGAAAGTAGAACGGCGACACATTCTCCAGCCGCCGAACAACCAGGGCCCAATGTCTCGCCGGCGCATAGGGCGGAGCCCACGCAGAGGCCACGTCGAGATCAGCGTCCATGACGGACCTGACCTCGTCCGCGCTGCCTTCTGACGCGGTGCCCATCCCTGCAGCCGGGGACACTGGCGCCCACTGCTGTCCGGGGCGGGAGTGCGCTGTCGCCGTCTCCAGCTCACAGTGAGTGGTACACGTCTTTTGCTGTTCTGTCGATCGATGTTCTTGTTCTTCGGTAGCAGCAGCAGCAGCAGCAGTACCCAGCTTCGCAGCGAACGCACCCTGGAAGGGAAAGCAGCAGACATCCGCCGCGGGGGCCTCAGGCGCCAGGCCCTCAACCAGAGCATCGATCTCGTCGTATAGCGCAGAGGGGCTATCAACCACATCGGGATGTGGGCTCGTCAGCTGCGCGAAGGCGTCGTACATGTCGCGGCCGACGGCCCACGCCATGCGGAGCATCAGCAGGACGATCTCGACGACGAACCAGACGATGGCCCCGACCTTGGCCAGGGTCAGCAGGCTGCAGACGGCGCACGGCGTCATCGAGCGGTAGCGGTAGGGGACGAAGAAGCCCGGCGGCGGGATGCAGACCTTGCTGGTGTCTGGGTGCGGGGGCTCGCGCAGCGGGATGTAGATGGTGAGGGCCTTTGTTTGCGGAACGGCCAGGGCTTTGGTCTGCGGCGCGGCGAGCGCGGTGGGACTTGTGTCGGGGGGTGAGGCGGTCGTGGTGGGGGTTGTGGGTGAATGGTGGACGACGCTTGGTCGAGGGGACGGCGCGCGGTAGGTATGCGCGGACGCCGTCGCCAGCTCGGCGAGGTCGTGGATGCCCTTTGCCATGGTGGTGACTTCTATGGCGGCGGAGATGCGTTTGATGAGCGGGTCTTGTGGGGTGGTGAGGCCCGGGACTGGGAGCAAGGTGCTCCATATTGTGAGGGAGAGGAAAACGCCGATGAAGGGGAGGATCATGTTTGGTTGGTTGAGAGGTGGGTTTAGAATGTAGGTGTATGTAGAAGTAGATGTAAATGTAGAATGTAGGTGATGGATATGAGGGTTGATGGAAGTTGGGGGGTGGGAAAGGGAGAGGAGGGGGTTATATAGGAGAGAAAGAGGGAGAGTGAGAGCATTACAGAGAGAAGACATGGTCAGTGAATGGTGAGCAGATTATGATGGACCTGGATGAAGACCGGTGACTTGTCTTGACTGTTGCATAGTGAAGGGCTGATAAAGGATTCAATGATGTTTGTTCTGGTCTTTCCATTGGTCCTGGAGAGATAGCCTTGGTTCGCTGTCTGTCTCTTCATTGATGTCAGTATAATCATGGTTATATTCAGAGTAGAGAAATACTGTAGATTCTAAATGAATGGAGTATACGGAGTACTGTATAGTCCATATCTAGTGGGCGACAATTCCATACTCCGTAGGGCACGCTAAACCCAACTGGGACTCGGCGCCGCCGCTCCGAATTTTTATCTCGACCGTCGCCCATCGACACCTTCACTCCTCCACGTCACTCTCCCTCGCAACCTCTGTGCAAAGATGGCTTCCACTCTTGCTATCGGTCTCGGTATTGCAACCACGGCCTTTTTGGTACGCGGGAATTCCCTTAATCCTACCTATCGGTCCACCGCCCAATACTAACGCTTTTCTGCTCAGGGCCGCGCGGGTCTTGTCGCCTTCCGCCGCTACAGGGGCGGCGTCAACAGCATGGGCAAGGCTTTTTACAAGGGGTCAGTATACCACATAATTTCGACATGCGCGTCGTGGAGACGACAGCTGACACCACGCAGAGGATTTGAACCCCGGATGAACCGCCGCGAAGCCGCCTTGATCCTGGAGCTCCCGTACGATCCTCCCCTTCGATAACGTGTGGTTGTATACCAGATCTAACGACTATACTAGGGAACGCACGCTCAACAAGGAAAAGGTCCGCAAGAAGCACCGTCAGCTCATGCTCCTCAACCACCCCGATCGCGGTGGGAGCCCGTACCTGGCGACCAAAATCAACGAAGCCAAGGAATTCCTCGACAAGCATACTTGAGCATAACTGAGGCTTGAGTTGCCTTCTTGATCGCCTAGATCGATGTCGACTGTATAAGAATCTGTTTGTATATTTGGGTGCATAGCGTGGCGTTGGTGGGATTTTCGAAGACAAGAGTATATTCTTCCTCTTCGGCTCCTGAGGGAGACATGTATTCTGATATCCAAGATCGCCGCTCCTGTTTGCAATATATGTTGTAGTATTCATTTGGTATTCTTGAAGAGAATAAAAGGAATAAAATACGTATGTAGAGTACCTACATTCTACTCCGTAGTTACCCGTACTCCGTACTCATCGGAACTAATCGCATCCGACGCAGAAGAAGAAAGAAAGTGAAGGGTGCAGCTGGTCGGGAATCGGGGTTATCGGATTCCGTCCGCCCTATACGACGGGGAATACGGAGTTTGGCGCCACATTTAGGTTTGATCTTAGTCAACGGCAGCCTCTTTGTCGAAGAGATCGCATGGCCCCCCCTTTTCAACTTCTCTCTACCTAGGCATTGGATGACTATTGCATGTGCTCTGGCGTCATCTGCTGCTCTTCCTGCTGTCATTGTGCATCGATCTAGGCCTCTATCACCATTGCGGCCTGGGATCGCCACATGCTCCTAATCGGAAGGTTGAGTAAGCCACCGTCATCGAACTCACCTTCAGGCGGTACGAAGTACTGCATCCTCGCCTCCTCAGTCATCATCTTCACTCCTTTGCAGTCATTCTCTCTCCGACCCGGTCGATCCCCTGACACCTGGCTCCATCCCGAACCCGACCTCGCTGCCTCCTGACTATAGTCCCTCCTTTGCGGAACCCGGCGGAAATCTCCATCGTCCCCATTTCAACGTCCTGGTGGACGGACCCCGCACCGTCTGCCACCTTGTCGCGCTCAACACGAATACCCGCTTGGGTCTGCGGCTCCACTCCCTAACCTCCCACCGCGTCTTCGCTCACCATGGATGGTATGGGGGACGCTCCCGACGGCATGGGCTACGATATGCCCATGCTGATGAACCAGCAGCCCAATCTCTTCGGCGCCTACGCCCACGAAGGCTCCCCCATGCTCGCAGGGCTGTCGAATCCCTCCTACGAAAATGAACCGACGATGGGCGCAAACGAGGACAACAACGATGCCAAACGACGGCGGATCGCGAGGGTGAGTGGTTGTGGCGGAATCATGCCGTTGGACAGGCGCACGGGAAAGACGACTAATTCTTGTTCCACCAGGCTTGCGATATGTGTCGGAAGAAGAAGATCAAGTGCGACGGGAAAATGCCCAAATGCTCGCATTGTATGAATTACAAGACCGAGTGTGTCTTTACGCAGGTCGAGAAAAAGCGCAATCCTCCCAAAGGGTACGTGCGTCGAGAAACCCCTTACTTCCGTGGTTCTTCAGCTAACTGTCGACAGTGCCAAATACATTGAAGGTCTGGAAAATCGATTGGGTAGAATGGAATCGTTGTTGCGACTTTCGGGGCTTTTGTCAGAAGACGATGGAGGGAAAACCGACCTGGGAACGCTGGAGAAACGCCTCGCGGATCGATCGTTGGCGAGTGGAGGCGGTTTGAATGCAATCAGGAGTCCAAATCGATTCAACGCCTCGACTTCGGCCACACAGTCGCAACACAACACCGCATCGCGACACTCTACCCCGCGTGTGGATTCTCAGTCCAGCCCGCGCACGGCGGCGACTTCTCCCGACTCCCCCAAGGAATCCGAACCCGAGGTGGAAGGTCTGTCTGATATGATGTGCTCGCTTGTGACGAACAACTGCGGCGAGACGCGTTATATTGGTATGGTCTACGATTCAGGGTTGCTGCGTAGCTGTGGACAGGCTAACATAGCGTGACAGGATCGTCCTCGGGTTTCTCCATCTTCTCGCCCAAGGGTATTCAATGGGTCAACGAGAAGACAGGCGACACGTCGTTTCAAGATATGATATCCTCCGCCTATGTCGATGACAACAAATGGATGTACTGGAAGCCCGAAATCTTCAGCGACATTTTCGCCCGTCGCGTTTTCAAACCGCTACCGCCAAAGGAGGAAGCGCTGTCCCTGTTTCGGGATTTCTTCGAAAACTTCAATTGCATGTTCCCGTTGTTCCACGAGCCGACTTTCATGCATCTAGTGGAGCGCCAGTACTCCCGAGATCCATTCGAAGGGTCCGGTTGGTGGGCCAGTATCAATGTCGTCCTTGCCATCTCTCATCGATTGCGGGTCATGAGCAATCTGGTTCCCCACGAAGAAGACAAGAAAGCTTGGCTGTATCTGAAAAATGCCATGGGAGTTCTGACCGAGCTCACCATGCGAAATACCGACCTACTGAGCGTCCAGGCGCTGTTGGGCATGGTACGTGACGGACTGCGTCAGGTTACAACAGAAGGTTAGCTAACACCACCCAGTCACTCTTCCTACAAGGCACGCCAAATCCTCAACCCTCATTTTTCCTCGTCGCGGCAGCCATCAGGTTGTCTCACAGTATCGGCCTTCACAAACGAGGCTCAGGCTTTGGCTTGAACCCGGTCGAAGTCGAACAACGAAAACGGGTCTTTTGGATTGCCTACCTGCTTGATAAAGAGTAAGAGAGTCCCCCGGTCACTTGTGCGATTGTTCTGACGCGTTGTAGTATCTGCCTGCGTTCGGGTAGACCTCCTGTGCAGGATGACGATGACATGAACGTCGAGCTCCCGAGTGAGGATCCGCCAGATAATATCGGCAACGTCCCGCTCTCTGATGGCAAGAGCAAATTCAACCTGTTCCGGTCGATGTGCCAGTTTGCCACCATCGAAAGTCGCGTGTACAAACGACTTTACTCCGCCAAAGCATCGAAACAGTCCGACGGTGAGCTGCTTAATACGATCGGCGAGCTTGACAAGGAGCTCGAAGAATGGAAAGATAGCATTCCTCTTGATTTCCGGCCGGAACACGAGATCAAGGCTACACACACACCCCTTATTCTGCACGTCGTCGTCCTTCACTTCGCCTACTACAACTGCTTAACGACAATCCATCGCATGTCGGTACACCACGGTTATTGGACTAGTCGATTGTCCAATTATGCAATCCAAGGCTTGAACGCCCGGCCGCTGAACCCCAGAGTCTTCCTATCGGCCGTTCTTTGTGTCACGGCTGCGAGAGCATCTATCAATCTGATCAAATACATCCCGCAAGGAGACTTTGCTTGTGTCTGGTAAGTGCTGCGAAGACGATTTATTTGATATGATTCCCGTGCTAATTCAGGTCAGGTTGATTCTCTATTATCCGGTTTCAGCACTTGTCACTTTATTCGCAAATATTCTTCAAAATCCAAACGATGCTCGAGCTCGGTCAGATGTCAAGTTGATGAACGTCGTCGTCAATTTCCTCTCGACGCTCGTCTCCGACGAATCCAATGGCAGCATCAAGCGTATGCTTGGTCTCTGTGGTGAATTCGAAAGAATCGCGCAGGTTGTGTTGGATAAAGCCGAGCGCGACTCTCATTCCAAGAAGAAGCGCAAGACTGCCCCTGAAGAGACACGGAACTTGCCTCAAGGGACGCCGGAGGAGAATCCCACCCCCTCTCCATCGACTACGAAACCGCCCGATCCACCGCCTGCTACTGTGCCCTTCCCGCCGTCTGTATACCCGGATGGCCTAAGAAGCGACGGCCCAAACATGTCGAATCACGCGAGGCCGTTCAGTCCCGACCAAACCGTTCCCGTCACCAGCGGTCTAGCTGACAACATAATGTCTGGGATGGGACAGGATTTCCCGGATATGCTCAGTCCTCACACGATGGGCTTCGGTCACGCGACTCCATTCCCTTCCACCGATAGCCCTTTGACATCCTTCCAGCAGCCTTTCGTCCCCCAAGATCTTTGGCAGATGCCGATGACCATTGAATGGGACTGGGCCGATATGTCGTCTAATTTTCCCGTGTTCGGCACTGAGGCGCCCCCTCAGAATGGACCTTGAGCACGACGAAATGATAAAATGGGTGAATGGATATAAACGGGGCTGCTGTTATTGTCGATACGTGGCGTCCATGGAGATCACTCAGAACTTTTCTATTTATTGGGTTTCATCATGCAGGATACCTTCATTGTTGAGGGATACAAGGCGTTGGGAAGACTGATGACACTTTCAAGAAGCGCCACTCCACTATCTGTATCTATTCTTCTTATCTCTTTGATATTCACAACCAGTGAATACATACGATCTTCATGGTTGTATTTAGATGTAATTACGAACCAATTCCTCTCCCGACGTGAATCGAAAAGATGAAGAACAAAGGTCTAGATCTTGGTGCGTCAGCATCGTCCACTGAGTTCGTTCAGGTTCGGAACGGATGACTCAGCCGGCCGACGGAACAGAAAAATCCCAGGCCGAGCGGGTGGCAGACGAACCTCCGACATTAGAACGCCGACTGTCATACAGCTCCCCAAGAGCTTTCCACCCTCGCCTCCCCCTCCAATCCCTACTCCGACCAGGGTGTCTATGGCTTCGGCAGTCTGCCATCGCTATTAACCCCGGATACATACGCCCTTTTACCCCTTTCCCCGGCCTCTGGGCCCACCATCCTCGACCATGGCCACCCTACTCCGACGGCCAGGCAACCTTGCTCGATACTCGAGGAGAGCCGGAGAATCAATCTATCGCGGCGCGCCACTGTCTGCGCACCTCCCGCAGTCGAGACTTTCCTCCCTAATCACAACGCGCCGCGTCCGGGCCTTTGCTACCCAGTCCCCCCACGACCCGAAACCTCCGAACAAGAAAGATCAGAACCAGCCGCCGGATCAAGGCTCTGGCCCGAAGAATGATGGCGGCAAACCGGAAGATGGCGAGAAGCCAGAGGCGGCGCAGTCGAAACTCAGCGCCGAGGAGCAGGAACAGGTGGATAAGTTCATCAAGCATCTGAAAGAGCGGGTACCGGTGTCGCAACACCAGATGCTGGATGATGTGCGCACAATCATGATGAACGAGGGGCTCCCCCCGGAAGTTCGGGACTTTATCAAACAGCACATCCAATCCGGGAGACCCGCCTCCCTGATGGACTATGTGAACCTGACCCGCTACATGTCGAAACACCTGAACGACTACGCCCACAAGCTGAACGATCTCGAGATGAAGCGAAAGCAGGACGGCCAGTCGGAGGATGGCAAAGGACAACAGCAGGGCCAGCAGCAAGGACAACAGCAGCAGGACGGCCAGCAGAAGGGCGGTGACTGGAACAAGCCGCCGAACTTCAAGGTGTTCGAGTTCCGGTTCGACCCCGCCGGGTTCTTGATCAGCTCGCTGGTCACCTACTACATCTACCGCAGCTTCTTCCCGGGCGAGTCCAGCAAGGAGATTACGTGGCAGGAGTTCAGGGCGAACTTCTTCGACAAGGGCCTGGTGGAGAAGTTGACCGTCATCAACAGCAACCGCGTCCGCGTCGAACTGCACCGTGACGCCCTGGCTCGCGTCTACCCCGACTCGCCCGCCAACCAGCCCATGTTCCATTACTACTTTAGCATCGGATCCGTGGAGAGCTTTGAGCGTCGACTGGATGACGCACAGGACGAGCTGAAGATCCCCAGCTCCGAGCGCATCCCCGTCGCCTACGTCGAAGAAGTACCCTGGGGCTCCACCCTGCTCTCCTTCGCCCCGACTTTGCTCCTGATTGGTTCTGTCTTCTGGCTATCGAGACGTGCTGCTGGCGGTGCAGGTGGTCAGAGTGGAATCTTTGGTATCGGCAAGAGTCGCGCCAAGCGTTTCAACCATGAGACCGACATCAAGATCAAGTTCTCCGACGTGGCTGGCATGGACGAGGCCAAGGTTGAAATCATGGAGTTTGTCAGCTTCCTGAAGCACCCGGAGAAGTTCCAGAAGCTGGGTGCGAAGATTCCTCGCGGTGCCATTCTTTCCGGTCCTCCTGGTACTGGTAAGACGCTGCTGGCCAAGGCAACCGCTGGTGAATCTGGCGTGCCGTTCTTCAGCGTCAGTGGTTCGGAATTCGTCGAAATGTTCGTCGGTGTTGGTCCCTCCCGTGTGCGTGATCTGTTCGCCAACGCCCGCAAGAACACGCCTTGTATCATCTTCATTGACGAAATCGACGCCATCGGTAAATCCAGAGCGAAGCAGAGCTTTGGCGGCGGCAACGACGAGCGTGAGAGCACGCTCAATCAGATCCTGACGGAAATGGACGGCTTCAACACTTCCGAGCAGGTGGTCGTCCTGGCCGGTACGAACAGACCCGACGTTCTTGACAAAGCCCTGATGCGCCCGGGACGTTTTGATCGACACATCGCCATTGACCGGCCTACGATGGACGGCCGCAAGCAGATCTTCCGCGTTCACCTGAAGAAGATTGTCACCAAGGAGGACATGGAATACCTTACCGGCCGTCTCGCTGCTCTGACCCCTGGTTTCGCTGGTGCTGACATCGCAAACTGCGTGAATGAGGCCGCACTAGTTGGTACGTTACTCCGCTCCACTTCCTTTCCTGCTGTCTTAGCTAACATCTTCAAGCCGCTCGTGAGAACGCCGAAACCGTCACTATGAAGCATTTCGAACAGGCTATCGAGCGTGTCATCGGTGGTCTGGAGAAGAAATCCCTCGTGCTCTCGCCCGAGGAGAAGCGCACCGTCGCCTACCACGAGGCCGGACACGCCATCTGTGGCTGGTACTTCCGCTGGGCTGACCCGCTACTGAAGGTGTCCATCATCCCCCGCGGCCAAGGCGCCCTGGGCTATGCACAGTATCTGCCCGCGGGTGGCGACACGTACCTGATGAACGTGAACCAGCTGATGGACCGGATGGCCATGACGCTGGGCGGCCGTGTCAGCGAGGAGCTCCATTTTGACACCGTCACCAGCGGCGCCAGCGACGACTTCAACAAGGTCACGCGCATGGCCACCGCCATGGTGACCAAGTTCGGCATGTCCCCCAAGCTGCGGTACATCTACTACGAAGAAGACCCGCAGCAGCAACTGCACAAGCCCTTCTCCGAGGACACCGCCCGCGACATCGACTCCGAGGTCCGCCGCATCGTCGACGAGGCCTACAAACAGTGCCACACGCTGCTCACGGAGAAGAAGAAGGAAGTCGGCATCGTCGCCGAGGAGCTCCTGGCCAAGGAGGTGCTCAGCCGCGACGACATGATCCGTCTCCTCGGTCCCCGGCCGTGGCCCGAGTCCGGCGAGTTCGCCAAGTACTTTGACGGTGGCGCGACGATCGCGCCCCCGGAACCCACGGAGACCAAGGGTGAAACCGAAGGCAAGGATGGGAGAGACCAGACGCCCTTCCCGACGACATAGACAGATTGCATTCCGGTCTAGAGAAAGCACATCGAAAACATACCTGACTTTTTACGGTTGACGAGGGGACATATCTTGGGGTTTTGTATTTATCGATACGGAAGCATCTCCTTTCTTCTTCTTCACCTTGGTTCTCCTTTTTATCCTCCTATTTCTTTTGCGCGTTCATAAACCTTAGGATCAAGCTACCTGTTCTCCCTTCTCTTTCTTCTATCCGCTCCTCCTCCCTTTTCTCTTCTCTCTCGTTTGCATCTTGCCCGTGTCACTTGAAGGAGCATCAGTGTACTGTATTGTATAGTAGGTGGTTATTCATTGAGATTATCCTGTATAGATTCATTTTTTAGGTGTAGACGAGAAACGCGCGGATAGCATGAAATTGTAACCCGAATTCGAAACCCGATGAGGAACCAACTAAAATGTTATATTTCAAATATGTACTCCAAGGCCCAAAGAAAAGAGAAAATCCAAAATTGGTATCATATAACCAACGAAATTTAGAACTTGGTATACCACCCTACCCCTTTACTGACTTTTCTTCTCCACAGCCGTCTGTTCGCCCTCACCGACGCTCTCCTTGGCGGGACGGGTCTTCTTCTTGCCGCCCTTGTACTTGGGCTTCACAGAGAACCGGGGAATAAAGCGTCCAACACGCGCCTGATACTCGCTGTACTCGGGGTACTTGCTCGCACTGATGGCCTCGGTGAGACGAACGCTGCCCTGGAAGATGAGCAGGTAGCCCAGCACGCCGAGTCCGGTCCACTGGAGGTAGGTTTCGGTGCGGTAGCAGTTCCACAGGTAGAGAGTGAGCCAGATGGCCTGCTCCGCGACGAAGTTGGGGTGGCGCGACAGGGACCACAGGCCACTGACGACGAAGCCGCGCTCGAGGTCCTCGGGGGTGAACTGCGACTTGTACTGGCCGGAGATGCGGGCGGACTTCTGGTACTCGTGTTTGGCGCAGTGGAAGGCCCACTGCTGCTGGTCGGCGAAGTACTCGATGATGAGGAAGAAGAAGGCGACGCGCGAGAAGATCAGGTCGGGCAGCTCGAACGACTTCATGTGCGGGAGGCGCGAGAGCAGGAGGAAGTTGTAGGTCGGCGCCGTGATGAGGAGCAGGAGCAGGCTCTGCGTCAGGGAGATGAAGACCACGTTGAACAGGAAGAAGATGAACCGGTTGTTGACCTTGGCGCGCACCACCTCCCAGCGGTAGTCCTCGGAGCCGATCTTGTAGCCGCCCTTGCGCCAGTAGTTGAACGTCAGGCGGATCTATGCAGGCGTCAGTTTGGGTGACAGTTTTCCTTCATTTGTGTCGTCACTTACGCTCCAGAGTACGGCGAGAGCGGCGATGGTGTCCAGCGCCTCGGTGCGGAGGCCCGACATGCGCGCCCAAACGGCGAAATGCACATTGTAAACTGCGGGGAGGATACTCCAGAAGCGATCAACTTGCGACCAGTTGCGGTTCAGCTCCGAGAAAACAAGGAAGAAAGCCGACAGCGCCAGGCAGAGACCAAGTGCTGAGACAAATGGGTTCGTGGAGAGGTAGATCTCCTTCAGACCTTGCGCATCTTTCGCTGCCGCGACAACCTGGAGTCTTTCAGGCAAGGTCGTCAGCTGCGGGAGAAATGGAAGGACCGTGCGGTTGAAGTAAGTGCAGTCCCAAATGGACTGGACGTCAGGAAGCGGCAGCGCCATGGTTTCTTCGCGACAATGGAGATGGGGAAGAGGTGGTCGTTGGGAAGAGAAGTCAAGGTCGATGACGACGATCAAAACAAACGAACCGACCAAACTGCTCCCGCGCCTTACCTCTTTGGGAAGTAACCTTTGAACATGCCTTTCTGCCTCAGGCATCACTACGCGCGGGTATCGCGTTCTTTCGTGATGTCCTCGACCGTTCACTTCCTCGCACACCGTCGTCTACGATCAAGGTTCGGCGATAATTTGACCATGGACGTCGCTTAGACTTGTGTAGACCCGGATCTGCTGCCATGGCAATCACACGGGTCTTATGCGTGGCTGAAAAGCCCGCCATCGCAAAAGCTGTGGCTCAACATCTATCAGGTGGTGCCATGCAAACAGTAAGTGGATGCAAACCTGGAAAGATCCGTGCTGACACCCGTAGCTCTCCATTCGTGGCAACCAATATGTGAAGAACTATCTGTTCGAATTCAATTTCGGTAGCCCCTGGGGCACCTGCGCAGTCACCATGACCAGCGTCATTGGACACTTGACAAGCCTGGACTTTGAGTCGCATTACAAAAGCTGGCTGTCTTGTCCGCCTGGTGCGCTGTTCGAGGCTCCAGTGCATGAATCCATAGATTCAGTACGCACCATATGCCCTTTCTTGCCCGTCTTGCCCAGAGAAAGCACTAACTTGGACGACTTAGGACAAAACCGCCATTGCAGAGAATATCCGAGAACAGGCCAAGTACTGCAAGGCCTTATTTATCTGGACTGACTGTGACCGAGAAGGCGAGCACATTGGCACCGAGGTCCGCTCCCAGGCAAAAGAAGGGAATCCGCGGATTATCGTGAAGCGCGCCAGGTTCAGCAACACAGAAAAGGCGTAAGCATCTCGATTAAAAAAGTCCATTATAAATTACACTGACTAACCCCCCCTTCAGCCATGTCCTCACGGCCGCTCGGGGACTTATTGAACTGGATGATCTCCAGGCCAATGCAGTAGCTGCTCGGATCGAACTCGACCTGCGAATTGGCGCTGCATTTACTCGCTTGCAGACCCTTCAACTAAAGCATCTGTCAGCGGCACTGGCTGATACTTTAATCAGCTATGGTCAGTCTCCATGACCCCTCTTATCTTTCATAAACTAATTTTGACAGGGTCCTGTCAATTTCCAACTTTGGGCTTCGTAGTGGACCGCTACTTGCGCGTTAAAAACTTCAAGCCAGAGACTTTCTGGGGCATCAAGGTCATGCATCAGCGGGATGGCATCAAAGTCAACTTCTTGTGGAAACGGGTCCATCTCTTTGACCGGGCCGCTGTGACGGTTATGATGGAGCGGTGTCTTTTGGCAAAGAAAGCCAAAGTCACCAAAGTTAATCAGAAGCCGACCAGCAAGTGGAGGCCTTTGCCGTTGACAACGGTGGATCTACAGATGATGGGAAGCAGATACCTCCGTTTGGACAGTCAAAAGATTATGAAGGTACCATTAAGAAATCTCATTTTATGCTACCTTGCTGATCCCTGTTCATTCCAGGTTGCAGAGGCACTATATACAAAAGGGTTTATCAGCTACCCCCGTACGGAGACGGATCAATTCGATAAAGGAATAGATTTGAAGAAGCTGGTCGAAAAACAGTTGCCCGATAGTAACTGGGGGCAATACGCACGAGGGTAGGTTTGCTCTATTGGTACTTGATCGATGTTTCTGACCTGGTGAGCCAGCCTTCTTGATGGCGGCTTCAGGACTCCCCGGGCCGGACGTCACAATGACCGCGCACACCCGCCTATACACCCAATTTGCTGGGTTTCGCCAAGTACATTGTCAGCAGACGAGAAAAAGGTCTATGAGTTCGTCGTTCGGCGGTTCCTCGCTTGTTGTTCCGAAGACGCAAAAGGCCAGTCCACAGAGGTTGAGATCGAATATGGCGATGAGATGTTCCACGCCAAGGGTTTGATCGTTCTGGAAAGGAACTACCTCGATGTATATGTGTACGACAAGTGGGAGAGCAGCCAAACATTACCCCCATTCCAAATGGGAGAGACCTTCGAGCCAACCGAAGCCAAGATCTTTGACGGCAAAACCACTCCTCCGAATTACCTCACAGAGCCTGAACTCATTGGATTGATGGACGCCAATGGAATCGGAACGGACGCCACCATGGCAGAGCATATTGCAAAGGTGAAGACGCGCCAGTACGTCGCTGTCCATTCGCGTGGAAGCGGCCGCAACGCAGTCAAGGAGCTCATTCCTACCAGATTGGGCATTGCACTGGTGGAGGGCTATGACAACGTGGTGGCCGGCTTATCCGACAGCATATCTCTCAGCAAGCCTTTTCTTCGGAAGGAGATGGAAGCTCGTATGCGTGAGATCTGTGCGGGCTCTAAGACGCGCCAGCAGGTTGTACATGAGAGCTTGGAAAAATATCGCGAGGTTTTTATACATACCCAAAGACGCATCAACATCCTAAAGGAGGCGTGTCGCAAATATCTTAATGACAATGCAGCCTGACCTGCCGAGATGATATACCTACTACAACTAATGAAGGTGGCCACAAAGAACCTGTGGGTTGTCAAATGCACAAGCAAACCTGTCGAACCATTCTCTCACAGATGATAACTGTAGCGTCTAGACTCAGCAGCAAAAAACACACGATATCTATGCTCCATTCCGTTGGATGGTGAAGCAAAAATCTTAATGGTTCCGACGAGGGTCGAACTCGCGACATCCGCGTTAACAGTGGATAATCTCCTATATTAGCACGGCGCTCTAACCGACTGAGCTACGGAACCAGCTGTTGTGTTAATAGTTGTACTCACGGTATATTGACACAAGATCACGTGACAAAGCTTAGGGTTTAGGGCTGGGCACCAGATGGCGGGGCATGACTCAAACAGGTAGGGCAGCTAGATTGTTGTCGTCACGAGAAAAGGCCTGGTATCGTTCTCCCCAGCTCCCCATCTTTCCAATCTTTTGTCTTCTCGTTCTCCATACACCCAGCTCTCAAACCATGGCGGACTCCGAGCTCCCTGTCCGTCCTAAGCCCGAAGAGACCCCCGCGGGGGGTGAAGCCCCCGCGGAGGGTGCGGAGCAAACTAAGAGCGCCAGCAAGAGCGCCGCAAAGAAGGCTGCAAAGGAGAAGGCCAAGGCTGAGAAGGCTGCTGCTCGTGCTGCCCAGGAAAAGGCCCAGGCCGCCGCAGCGGAGGCCAACGATACCGCGAAGCATCTCTACGGCCAGATGCCCGACTCCGAAGACACCGTCCCCACCACGCGATTCACCGACATCAACGACGACCTCTACGAGAAGGAGATTACTGTGGTGGCCCGTGTTGACAATGCACGTGTGCAGAGCGCCAAACTGGCCTTCCTGATGTTGAGACAGCAGGGAGCCAAGATCCAGTGCGTCATTGCGCTTGCGGAGCCTATCTCCAGACAGATGATCAAGTACACTGGTGGATTGAACGTCAACTCTATCGTGCAGGTCACCGGTGTTGTTAAGAAGCCGCAGACCCCCATCGCCTCTGCTACCCTCAGCAACCACGAGATCCACATTCGCAAGGTTTACATGATTTCGGAGGCCGCGCAGCAGCTGCCGATGCAAGTGAAGGATGCCGAGAGACCCCCGCCGGAGACCACGGAGGAAGGTTTCCAAACCGATGCCGATGGCGCCCCCATTGTCACGCTGAAGACTCGTCTTGACAACCGTGTGCTTGATCTGCAGACGGAGACCAGCCAGGCTATCACCTGGATTTCCAGCGGTGTTGCTGAGCTGTTCGCCGAGTACATGATCAAGAGCGGTTCGCGGTGGATTTTCACTCCCAAGCTTGTGGGTGCTGCCACCGAGGGTGGTAGTGGCGTCTTTGAGGTGAAGTATTTCAAGCGCAATGGATACCTGGCGCAGAGTCCCCAGCTGTACAAGCAGATGTGTATCGCCGGTGACATGGAGAGCGTCTTCGAAATCGCCCCTGTTTTCCGTGCCGAGGACAGCAACACACACAGACATCTGACTGAAGTAAGTCGGCACGGCTGAGACACCGATATTCAGTTTCCGTCAATTGCTGACCCTTTCATAGTTCTCTGGACTCGATTTCGAGAAGACCTTCCACGCCCACTACCACGAGGTGCTCGAGTTTGCCGAGAACCTGCTGGTCTTCATCCTTACTCAGCTTAAGGAGCGTTACGCCGACAAGATCGCCATCATTCAGAAGTCCTACCCCAAGGCGGGCGATTTCAAGCTGCCCAAGGACGGAAAGGCTCTGAGACTGAACTATATGGATGGTGTCCAGATGCTGAAGGAGGCCGGTGTTGATGTCTCTGAACAGGAGCGCTTCGAGAACGATTTCACTACAGCAATGGAGAAGCAGCTTGGACAAATCATCCGGGAGAAGTACGATACCGATTTCTACGTGCTGGACAAGTTCCCCATGGCTGTGCGTCCGTTCTACACGAAAGCCTGCCCCCAGGACCCTCGCTTCTCTAACTCCTACGATTTCTTCATGCGTGGCGAGGAGATCATGTCTGGTGCTCAGCGTATCAATGACATCAAGGAACTGGAGGCCTCCATGAGGGCCAAGGGGGTTGAGCCGAACCAGGAGGGCTTCGAGGACTACCTGAATGCTTTCCGTCAGGGATGTCCCCCGCACGCTGGTGGTGGTCTGGGTCTGAACCGCATTGTCATGTTCTTCCTTGGCTTGCCTAATGTTCGCTTGGCGACATTGTTCCCCCGCGACCCCCAGCGCCTGCGCCCATAAGTGTCGGGAATGTCTGGAAGCAAGAAGAGGAAATATATCTGAACTAGAGAGGGCTTTAGAGATAGCACCCTTGGAAAATGTATGAAAATGAGAATATAATGTATCACAGATGGTAGCTGATGACGGCCTAGCGCTCAGGCTTGCTCACCAAGCCTTGGGGAGACCAGCAGGCAAGTAACGAGCATCTATTGGCTCACAGTTATGTATTTCCTATTAGCCTGTCTTCTGTTTTCCCTGTTAGATTCTGCGTAATACTTCCTGCTACTTAGCTATTCCTTCTTGCGCAGCACATCTAGGTACGAATATCCACGTCTGTTCGTCCCATAACAGTTTCACTTTTATTGACTATTCCTATTCTATTCTCTTTGCTTCGGCCACTCCTTTCTGACGTACCCGAAGGCACCGCAGTTACCCTATGTGCATCCATATTGGCCATACGAGAGCAGTTGAAGTTCAACTGAAATGAAAGGTTATCTCCATGCTATTACTCTGCTAAGCTACACACCTGGGTACTATTCGAAAGATTTCACCCTCTGTCGGCATCTGTCCACTTCGCTCTATAGGTCTGTTGGATGAACAGAAGAAGCACAAATGTCAAAGGAAGCTTCCCCAGAAAACTCCTCCAGCTCGGACACAAATGCGTTCCATAGTCGATCGGAAGTCATGGGCGCATAACTGTATGGCGCCGTTCCGGATTCGTACACCAATTTTTCTAGGTCTGGGAGTAATGCATCGGCAGCTTGGGCTTCCATCTCGCGCTGGGATCTCCGGCTGATGCCTCCCTGCTCCGTATACCATGCGGAATCTTCTAGAATAACCCCGCTTTCGTAGAGAGCGCAGAGCTTGGGGTCAATGTTTGCCTCCTTTGCTGCTTCCAATGCCATTCGGTGGCCGATGGCCTGGATCAGTGGAAGCGAGAGCGGGAGGATATTGCGGTTAAAGGCTTCGCTTCGATGCACGCCGCCAAATTCTATCAAATGCTGTTTTGCCTCTGTCAATAATGCGGCTTCGTGCCGAGCAACGGGGCTGTTGGGGTCTTTAGGGGGCGGCGGCTGATAGCGGCCGATCAGGAGCTCGCTTGCGAGTCCTAAATCCGTAATTAGCATTAAGCTCAAAGTCTGACATCTGTATGAGATGGTGACATACGAATGGCGAGGACCCTAATGTCGCCTTCTGCAGTTCCTACGGCTCGGAATTCCAGCTATAGATAGATCGTCAGCGTTCCGTACGAACAGTGGTTTCGGTTTACTTACCTCCATTTGAAGGATTTGATTATGTTCGTAATATCCATGCCAACCACACTCGTCATTCAAGGCTTTGATGCTCTTCTGAAAGTGCTGCAGGGCAACAGCCTTGAACACAGTCGCAACGGCGTGGCGCACGCGCGGATCGACCTTTCTATTCCGGAAAATGGTCGCCGCTTGCACGAGGAACGCCTGGAGCACATGGTATTGCGCGACCGCGTGGAGGATGGGGAGATGCTGGGTGCGGAACTTGATGACCGCCATTTGATTCCCGTCGTGGCCCGTGACCCTCCGGCGCACACTGAATTGGGCCGCATTGTACACTGCGAGTTTGAGGGCCGGGATGGAAGCACCAGACAGGAATAGCGTCCCGGCTGAGACGCGGTGGATGGTGGAAAAGAAGTGGTCCCGTTCGTTTTGTGGCTTTTCAAGGCTGCCCAGGAGAGCGGAGTTGGGCAGCACAACCCGGTCGAACAGGGTGAGCGCGTGGTCGATTGGATGAGCACCAGCGCGTGGGGGTAGGGCTCTTCATCCAACAGTTAGTATACTCATGCGGAGGGGAATAAGAATGGACACTCACTTCGCAATCACGCCTTTGCACATCTCATGGCCATCTCCCAGGGGAACTAAGAATGGCCGGACACCATGATTCTCGCCCTCCACGATCAGGCGGGCGATGACAACGGCAACGACGGGAAGTCCGCTTCTTGGTGTCGTCGGTGGCATACACCTGCGGTTTGTAAGTTAGCGTTGCGCCTAGACGAGGTATGATACCACCCACTTTGCAGCGGCCCAAGAAGGGCTGTGGAGCTCGAAGCCACCGTCAGGCAAGAGTGTCGCGGTCGTTTCTAGATTTCGCGCGTCTAGTCCATGGCCGACCTCGGTGAGCATGAACTGCGCTCTGGGTGGGACCTTCGAGTTAGCCCGAATCACTAGTTAGTGACTATTTCCCCTGAGGGCGGTACTAACGAGATCTCAAAGTTCAAGGCACGCTGGAGGATCCCGTGAAGGTCCGGCCGGGTGGTTGCGAATGGAGCCACAGTTCCCACAAACAGATTGTACTGGATACTAATCAAAGTCAACGCTCCACCGTCAACTGCCGCGATTGGATCCGTCTGTAGCTTCCAGAACTTCGGACTGAGGGATGCAATGTCTTCCACCGTCAAGCCTAGTCTTGCTTAGCTGGTATCAAGTGGGCTGAAAGGACGATTAGGGCCGTACTGTATGCATCGCAGATTTTCTTCGCCCTTTCGTATGTGAGCCTGGTGCGCTCTTCCAGGGTCAGGAAACGTGCTGGTAGTGTGAACAAAGGTGATTGAGCCAGCTCAAGAGTAGGTGAGGGCGACTGCCACACCCAGTCATAGAGGGCCGCATCGGATGACCTTGGTTCTGGTGGCAGCATATTGTGATCGGTGGTCTTCGAGCCGTCGAGATTGATGAATGTGCATCCCCATCTTCCCTCCAGCGAGCAGCGGATATTTATACACGACCGGTAGTTGCGTAGACGTCCTCCATGTCGATAATGGAGATATCCCAGCTGTTACGAAGTTTGGTGAAGAACCAGGTCATGGACGGCGATTGGCTTCCCTTGCACACGCCAGTCCCGCCACCAACATGATTGTGGCTGGCGGAGGCATACGGACTTCGCCGTCGTTGAGACAATACCACGAAGCAGACTAAAACCGGGAGCTGAAATTCAGCTAAACGCAGCACGAATATGAGCCTGACACATAGTCGGCTACTAATTAAGACCGTGCTATCCCAGAACAAGTCGGCAGTTCTCATCGCTCATCCAGCAAATCCAAAATGTACATCGCCGCGGTACTTACAATGATGAGGCCCCATTGGGCTGCCGTTATCATCGGTTTGGCAGTCTGTTATGTGAGGACTGACTCCCAATTCAGTAAACGAAATCTAACACCTTCCTAGTTTATCGGCTCTGCAATCTACAACTTGTACTTTAGCCCGCTGGCAAAGTATCCTGGCCCATTCCTCTCCAAGATTTCTGCCCTTCCGGATTTCTACTGGTCTTTAACCGGGGACCGGCATATGTGGATTGCACGGAATCATGAGATCTATGGGGATGTGGTTCGCTTTCGCCCTGACGGTCTCCTCTTCAGAACCCCCCAGGCCCATCGGGATATCTTCAACGCCAAAGCCAACGTCAAGCGAGCCAAGTTCTACGACATGATGACGCGGAACAAGCATGACACGAGTACCATTACCGGGACCGACCCAGCCCTCCATGCTCAGAAACGGCGAATTCTAAATACTGTCTTCTCGGAAAAGTCGCTGCGCTCAATGGAGCCTTTCCTGGTCAAGCACGTGGCACGCTGGTGTGAGCTCCTCATTGATGGAGATGGCACAGATTGGTCGACTCCACGGAAAATGTCTGAAGCATGCGACTACCTGGTCCTAGATGTGCTGTGTGACCTCTGCTTTGGGCAGTCTGTCCATACCAAGGAACCCGGCGAGAATGAATATCGCAACATTCCCCATGCGATCGGCTCGTTTCTCCAGGTCCTTTACCCGGTATGCTTCCCATCTTAGCCCGCAGGCAAGCTGGACATATAACTAACAACCCTGAAGCTTGGTCATTCTCCATGGCTAGATCTTATCGTCTGGTTAAAGCCAAGAGGCCTCGATTGGGTGTTTGGGGCCCTGACTCCTCCGCACATCCAATTTCTCTACGACTTCGTGAAGCAGTCGCTAGCACAACGTCTCACGGCCGAGCAAGAAACCCCGTCGTCGGGACATGAAGGCCGAGGGGACATGCTTCACTATCTGATACACGCTAAAGACCCAGCAACTGGTCGCGTGGGGTACACTCCAGAAGCGCTGGAAGCCGAGGCACTGATGCTCACAATCGCGGGTTCCGATACCACTTCCGTGATCATGGCCGGGTTCTTCTTCTATATTGTGCGAACGCCTCGTGCTTATCGGAAGCTCGTTCATGAGATAAGATCTACTTTTGCCTCCGTCGATGAGATCCGAGGCGGCCCCAAACTGACGTCCTGCCAATATCTTCGGGCATGTGTGGATGAGGCGATGCGGATTATGCCTCCCGGACCATCTGAGATGCCCCGGATTGTGCTGCCTGGAGGCATCATAGTTGATGGGGACCATATCCCCGAAGGCACAACTGTTGGAGTGGCATCTTGGAGCTTTTACCGCAATGAAGAGTACTTCCCAGATCCCAACGTCTATCGCCCCGAACGGTGGATAGTAGATGAGCACGCTGGGGTTACGGCCGAAGACGTGGCCAGGGCGCGGTCTAGCTGCCTCCCATTTGCAGCTGGCACAACTGGGTGCGCTGGGAAGAATTTCGCCCTTTTAGAACTTTACATGACCATTGCAAGCACATTGTGGCAGTATGACGCGCGACTACTACCGGGAGACCCGACTGGGGCTGGCAGCAAGGCGCAAGGATGGGGAAAGAGGAACCGAAACATCTACCACGTCAAGGACAAGTATATCAGCGTTAGGGATGGTCCAATGGTTCAGTTTAAGAAGCGAGTAGCTTAGATTCTACATAGGAACACAAACACTGGTGGAAAAACGCCGATACGAATATTATCTGCAAGGCACCAACATATTTCGAGCTGCCAGTAACCCATGTAGAAGGCAATGCGGGTATCTCCGAGATACGGGAGATAGCTCCCAGTGCGAAAGCAAGAAATGCCGATGGGCCTACTGTACCCATGTGCATTGGGGTCTGTGTCATGCTCAATGCCGCAATGTGTTCGGGATTGCCGGAACGATTCTGAAAAGGAAAGTCGGGACTACTCCGTACTATAGGATTTTTGTGAGGAATGGGTTCCTACGCTCCTGATACACTACTGTTCGAGCAAGAGCAGTCACCACTGTGGCTTGCTTATGGAGTCCAGATTGCAGCTCGCCACCTGAAAACAAAAACACATCTCCACTATACACCCCACTTGTATTGCAGCGGTGACACCGTCGAGAACACCTGTTCACTCCAGCATGGCGGTATATTCTGCCGATTGGCTGTCGTTATCCCATAGATTGGCTTGTTATACCCGCCTAGCAAGGTTGGTGCCATATAGTTACTAGTGTAGATGGGGGACAGTCCATTTGCCAACTCAGGCCAAGTGGGAGCACTAACTCCGTTACAGGCAGAAATCTCATGTGGCTTGCAGAAATGCCCAACTAGGGTTAGAAAACAGGGGCCACAAATGCCGCCCAAAGTCATGTATAACTGCCTAAGGTGATGTTAAACATAACTAACAGGCCGGTCCCTACGCCTGCAGCTTATCACAGTAAACACAGTAGGTTACTGAATAATTGGATCACCTGAACGCCACAGTTGACAGCCTGGTACTAGCGTCTACTAGATCTTCAACTCAGTAATCACTTGATCTATGTGGCATCTGTGTGGAAAGCTCGAATCGGGTTCACACTACAGGGTACTCCGTTCTAGCTGGTGCTTCTGGTCATAGATCTAGCCATAATCTTGCGCTAGGTTTGTGGCGTTGCTGAATATCTCAAAGAGGTTGCCAGCCTGCATCCTCTGCTGCGCACCCCGATCGTTCAGATGCGTGCTCATGGACAAGACCCGGGATATGCTGCAAACATTTGCAATTAGATGTGTCTGTGATGAGCGAACCGACTTGCAGGAGTAGAATCGTTCAAAGTATAAATAGACCTCTACTACGACGCTTCAGACAGTCCGACACTAGGTACCTTTATAGAAGCCTTTAGTCTATACTCTCTCCTCCATATTCACTACCAGTTTTCAGACCCCCTTCGTCTTCTCTCCTCGAACAGATTGTCGATCTTTCTTACAGGATGGTCAAGGTTACCCAATTGATCTCGCTCACCACCATGCTCGGTGCGCTTTCACACGCAGCATCACCTACAGTAAGCACTCCATTCTCCAAAATCATGAATATAAGAGCATTATTAATCTTCCACTACAGATGGTTTTCTGCAAAGATGCCAACTTTGGCGGCACTTGCGTTAACTTGCCAGTAGTCTCTGATTCTTGTGTCGACTTCAAAGGTGGCCTTAGCTTTCTGTAAGTATTCACGCCAGCCGGAAAACCGTTTAGAGCCATAGCTGGGCAGGAGGTGTTTTTGACTAATTGCCGTCTACTTCTGTGGTATAGTTACCACGAGGTTTCCTCAGTAAGAGTCCCATCCGGCTTTGTCTGCTCGCTCTCTAGGTATGTACAACCCATGAACCACCCTGACTATACGTGCTTTTTGACAATATTAAGGTATTATGGTTGCACCAATTCTGAAGTCTTTCTCATATCTGGATCCTACTCCAACTTATTTTCTGCGCCTACTGTCTACGGTACCACCAATTTCAATGATTTAACGGCCAGCGTTCTTTGCAGTCCTATTTGAAAGGGGTAGGAAAGGGTGCCCTTTGGGACTGGCTGGCTAACGTCGACACCTACTCTCAATTTATAAGCATATCTAGTTGTCTAGGCACATTTGTACTTTTGTGCAAGCCATCGTTTCAAGCCCGTCTTTGATTGTCCTCATAAACCTTCTCTTCGCTGTCTTCGTTTTGTTTCCCCAGCATCTCCGATTGAATTCCTCGTCAGCTCGCTGCTACTATTGCCTACCTAAGAGAGATGAATGCATACCAGAGACGTGATCTACTTACAATAGCTATTCGTAGGGAGGCAGTCAACTTCTAGCGCGCCTTTTACGCCCTACACTATATTTACTAGTAGTGATTGCTGTTGTCCCCTCGACAGGAGAATCCAAGTGGTATACTCCGGTCTGGAGTAAGTGTCACAAGAAACAAAAAAAAAAAACATACAACAGCTTAAGTATGGTGGTGGTCCCCATGAACTAGGTAAATGGTGGGCAAAGGAGCAAACGTCCACTGGGCGGTCCTTGTCATGCTCAGTGTGGGGGTAGCGCGTACTCGTCTCATTTGCGTAAAGTTAACTTCTTCCTAGTCTAGGTGTATGCCTAGGTAATATTCGAGTGTATGAAACAGAATCTGAAGTTTCCCGAGGGAAGACTGGATAATATGCGCAGAATTGAGGGCACGACATCCTCCTATTCCAGGGAGGGGTGTTCCTAGCTACTGTCTGTTCCGGGATTCTTTGGGCATGTATCTTGAATCGACGAAAACCTGCTCTAATATTCTTCCAGCATCGCCCTTATTCCAATTCTAATGACCTTGAGCCGCAGCTAGGACGGAGACAGCTTCCAGCCTTCCCCCCCCCCCCCCGGCGGCGGGGGTTTCGTGGCGATCAAAAACAACTCCCGACTCAAGGATTTGAGTAATTTCTTTCACAGTATGAGGCCTTGCCGTTGATAGAATTGAAGTCATGTTCGTCCGCCACAGTCCAGTTATGTAGCTCGAGAGCTGCAGGCCATGCACATTCAATTCTTCGAGAAAATGTGCCAATAGCCTCTCGAGATCTAATATCAACAGTTTCTCCTCATCTTGAATCTCTTCTATTTCTTCGGACTCGATCTCTCTCCACTCATGCGAGCAGGTATGAGTGATATCCAAGATTGCGAATGTGACGAAGCGAAGTACGCAAACACTCAAGTGCCTCTTAGAGTGTTCATCAGGCTCATGCTCAGGTTCTGAGTGAAAGAGAACAACATTCAATAACTCGGCGAAGAGACAAATAAGCTTGGCTACAGTCTCCTGGTCAGCACGTGTATGCAAAAGTCCTCTCAAAAGCGCCGTCAGTGGAGAGCATCCATTCTGAGAACAGACACAGTCGCAATCATCTTGAGTATTGTTGAAAAGGATTGTTCTCAGTAAGGCCTTTGGGGGTTCACTCAACGAATGAAATTTCGAAGAAGAGCCTTCCTCTGCGTTCATCCAGTATAATAGTCTTCCCACGCTATTTCCTATGTCATGCAAGGCCGATCCGGAATGCTTTTGGTAATAGACATCGGCGCCTTTACTGATCAACCAGCAAGACTTTTGCAGGAATACTTCCAAATCACAGGGCGGAGTGGTTGTCCAAATTTTTGTTAGGCACGTCTTGTTGTCGTCGTCGATCTCATCCACGCCTCGGAAGCCAGCGCTCCATAATCGGTCGGCCAAATTAAGATTGATGCCAACATAGTCAAAGACTGACCATCTATGACGCTCCAGGAGACCTCCCAGATCCACAGACTTTGCTTCAAGTAAAGTATATACTTCATAAGCATGGACATTCAGTAGGCTCTGAGGTTCGATGCGTAACCGATCTTGGACTTCTCTTGGTAAGTGTGCCTCAGCAAGAGCCTGTAGCCGCCTTCTGCGATGAATGAGTTCGCTGACAATTAGATCAACAATAGCCGGATTAGGATGAAAGCTGGCTATTTCAAGCTCTTTTTCTCCAATAAAGCACCTTTTGTCATTCACCAATATCTTGACGCTCTCCTCACAGTTCGCTTCGCATGCCGCTATAAGGGCGCCTTCGGTTGGTGCATGGCCAGATTCAAGGATCAGGGCTAAACCATCTCCCCAACGAGTGTTCGTTTCGATCCATCGATGAAAATCAACCCCTCTTCTCAGTTGTGCTGTCATAAGTTTCCTGGATTTGTACACGAGTGGCTGTAGCTCCTCTGGGAGTTCGATGTCTTGGTTTAAATCAGCCTCTCACATTCTTTCAGATTGTTCTTTGAGATGTAAATACCCTGGAGCCCTTTCTCATGGGCAATTCTCCAAATAAGGCGGAAGCTAAAGTCTTCGAACAAGTCATCATTCCTACGTCCATCTGCCCTCGACACAAAGTAACGAGGGTTGATAACATTCTCTCGATGCCTCCAGTCAAGGGCTTCGCGGGTCATATATCCCCCGGCTTTCAGCAGGTCTGAACAGATATCAATCGTTACCTGCTGCTTTTCCAGATCGCTGCCTTCATAACCAAAGCCATCGATCATGCTGTCGGCAGGAGTTGCACCCCAGTCGTTCACACGCTGCGGAGAAAGGCCCGCTTGTAAGAGGTTTTTGATAAACGAACGCCAGGTAAGCCGTGAACGGGTATCCCAGTGAGAACTGTAACTTTGCCAGCTAGTGACCACCTGTAGTTGCGGTTAATGAGGGACATTCAACTAAAAGCCTCAGACGTTCTAGCATCAAGTATTTTAATCGGTAAAAAATTTGGAGCATCTATGGCAAATCAATACTCACATGTAGGATGGTATCGCCTCTTGAAGAGCATCCGACATAGATGCTTTTCCTTCACGGAAGGCTTGAAATACAGCCTTCTGAGCGTTCTGCATAACAGTAGAGACATCCTGCGACTTGAAACTTTTCTCTGCATCATGAGAGTATGCTGAATATCTCGGAATTTACTGGCACAATGGCGCGGAAATTCAAGTTTAGGGCTGATTGAGAAGCCTCCTGCTCCAGTTGTGCTTGAAAATGAAGCCTCAAGAGAGATCTTCAGAGCCCATCTGCAGAATAGTCGGCGATGTAGCAAAGTCATGATGGCTTTTCCTTCTGTGTGCAGCTCACACTCACTAATACAAGCCGAAGCGGTATTGCGCGCTCTCCCAGAGCTCGCCATGCCACATGAGCATTTTGATCGGCGCCGATCCTGCTGGGAAACTATAACAAATCCCTGAGTATGTGGTTCTTCATCCATGATTTGTTGGTGCACCAACGCCGATTGGAGTAGACCTGGTGCGAGAGCTGGCAGAGCTTTGTGACGGCAGTTGTCATTTTGCTATGTTTCCGTAAAATTGTGATTAGCAGCTCAAGAGTGGAACCTGTCCAGACTGGATCAGAGGGGATAACTATACCATCTGTTTAAGATGATCTTCAAGCACTTTTAGTCTGTACTCAATACTAATGCCGCGCTGATCAGACCTTTGAGCCACGAGCAACATCTGACTACTATCGAGGGCGGCTGATGCCGAGTATGTGAGGAGGATGTCTGTTTGCTTCTGAGAGAGAGCCAACATAGCCCTTGATATTTCCGATTAGCAAAATATGCTCACTTTTTTCTCTAGTCCAGACTGACATATTCAATATTTGCAGTGAGGTATTAAGATGAGCTTGCAGCCAGCTCACCAGCTCCAGAATTGCCATCAGAGTATTGCGTTTGAAGGGATACAGTATCCTGTTGACCTGAATTTTAGACCCCAAAAAGGTCATGCTCGTGCTTTTGCACTTATCCAGCGTCATGCTTAACCTGTATAGCCCATCTTGGCAATTTAAGATGGAATCGAGGGCGACTGTTGCTGATTGAGCCGTCAGAGGCGAACAAAATACTTGCGCATTAGCGAGAACCTCTTGTAACGCCTTCAACAGGCTGTCAAAACTAGTTATACGGTTTGAGACGTTGTGAATCTGTTCATCATACGCTTTGAAGGGCCCATAGTAAGCCAGTAGACCCTGACAGACTGTGAGGCCAAGCGATATAACGCCTACTGCGCTCCCAGCCACAGAAATTGGATCGCCCATGCAGAACAACGATCAAAGGCTTCGAAAGAAATTTTGTCGGATAGATCAAGGTCTAAGATTTGGAGGTTACCGTGTGAGCTATGCCGGCATTTACGGAGTAAAGAGCAGGCGGCCTGAGGTGGGCAGTGTAATCGTCGATAGCCTACCGCATTCTATTCTAGCCTAAAGGGGCAGTGCAACGCGCGCTATAGTGGTGGCGCTTCCAAACACAGCCCGACCAAAGTCGGGCTTATCACTTTTCCCACCTCATGTCAAGGGGGTTTGTGGACTTTGCAGGTCTGAGCGGGTCCGGAATTAAACAATCGTTTTGATGTATGGAAAAGTCCCAACTCAGGCAGGGATAGGATAGTGAAAGGTCTGTTTCCAGTCAGTTTTACCGGATCAGTTTCTTTACCCCTCCTACTTTCCCAAACACTTATCAACAACAAAAAGGTAAAAACATACAACAGCGGGGATTCGCTGGTGGTCACCCACCCAACTACTAACCTGCCGGCGTGTGGCTTAAGTACGGCTGAGCGGACGGGAAGCCCTGTTTTCCACACCCTATGGTCGTATGTACTAGGTCGGTCGGCCAAACAGAATACCAATATTCCTCTCATGGGCATTTGTATTTGTGCGGGAATTGGGATGAGGCTGGAATGTGAACAATAACCATCCTTAGAAAGCAATAATTCCTGGGTCCACATGGACCGCTGTCTATAGATCTGATTCCCACCTGAAAAAACAATAGCCTTGGATCCACTGGATGGTCTAGAGCTGGATTAATGCGCGATTGATTTGAGGGGAAGGGTCCAGCGAATGGAGCGCGAATATCTCCGCCGCATATCAACGCAGAAGCCCTTATGTCTGTACAACGTCTGGGTTGGATGTACAGCTGCAGGTTGTATTAAGTTGTGGCGGCGGGAAGTCTAATGCAGATCCTGGCAGTGTCCAGGTAGAGAGCCGATATAACCCTGACACTTCGGGGATGGAAAACCGGGGATGGAAAATCCAACAGGTACGAAAAGCACGCTTCAAACATCGAACTTCTGCGCGATTCGTACACTACCGTGACAATAACATATGCTCAATTAGAGCACCCAACAAGTCTGAGGTATACTATCAGATCCCTCTAAGAGCTGCTCTAGCAATATCGTCTCTGGTTCAGATCTACCGTGATCCAGCGTCATTGCTCGGCCGGTGCGGGTATAAAGAGGACCATCGTCCTGTTGATCCTAATGCGCATCTCGAGGCGTCCCCTATCAATGCACTGGCTCTTGCTTTTGGTGTTAAATCAAAGCAGCTGTTTACATCGCTGGCTCACGATATATATATATGGCTCAAAGAGCGCCCCGCAAACAGCATTCCACTATCCATGCGCCAGATCCTCCAATTGCAACGTCAATGCAGAGCCTGGAAGGTGTTGTGAAGGCTCTGTCCTATAGTTCTAATCTGGTTGAGACGTTCAGGCATGTTGCAGGTATGTCACTATGTCCTTCGGCACTTTGCACGAGGTCAATATGACGCTTGGGATAGTTGACATCGTATCTGCATACCATCAAGCATTCCTAATAGACTAGGATTACATGCTTGTCCCTCCATTTCTTTCCGAATCCCGTGGTCCATTGCTCCAGGGGATATAAGTACCATCTCGATGACACCCTGAGGAGGCCATTATTCCATGGGAGAGGATACTAGTCTCCTCTGAGATATTAGAAGTAGAAATGTATCGTTCCTTAAAAAGTTCGAGAACACTTCTACAGTGCTTTGTTCTCTGACGGCCAGCGTCGTGTCCGGAAACGCAGTGCTCCCCAACCTTTCAGGGAAGTTAATCCTGTGCGACCCAACTTAGCGCCTTTAAGTCACCTTGTGACGTGTCAGAAATAAGGGGTATTCGAGTCTTTCGAGCGAGTGGTATTTGTACTTTGAATCTCCAAGAGACGGTTCTAATGGGACAGGCCTGGCCTATCCTACCTTGTCCTACCTTGACAATATTACACCACCGCAATCATTCTACAGCCATGTCTGACAAAGAGAAACGCAATCCTGTTCCGGATAATTATCTACTCGCTGAGATTTTTCCTGATGCCAAACCCGTCTCAACCAACATTATTTCGCACACCTTCGAATCTTGCACCTTTGTTGCCTATCAGGACTCCCAGGAGGAAGTTATTGTCCGTCCCGAAGCTTCAGGCAGTTATATTCCCATTGTGTCAGTAATATAGAAATTGGCGACGCTGGTGATCCCAGATTACGTTCCTGCTGTCCACCAGATTGGAACTGCATCAACAGAAAACGGCAAGAAGCTTGATTACTCAGTAGCTACGTACATCAAGAATGCCGTCACGCTGGAGAGTGTCTGGGGGGACTTGACCGACGATCAGCAGTTGCACGTTGCAGAGCAGGTTGCATTAGCCATCAAAAAACTCCACAGCGTCAATCTCCTCGATGAAAAGGCGCGTCAATTTGTCAAACCGGGAAGTCATGCCATCACGGAGGCGGCCGTTCCACTTGGTGGGCCAGAGTTGGGGCTTTTCTCTAACGTATCTGACCTGGTGCGTGATCTCGTCGCATCCCAGGATGGGTTCGAGCAGGTCACTATCACCAGTACAGATGATGGAGGACTCAAACTTGAGACAAAATTTGACGACATACCCTCCGTATCCATGTCGGAAAAAGACATGTTCGCTTTGCAGGAAGCCATTGTCCTCTGCCACAATGATCTTGAGCCTTGAAATATTCTCGTTCGAGCGGAGAGCCCAGCAGTTCACTACAAAGTCGTGGCGATCATCGACTGGGAATTGGCAGGTTTCTTCCCGTTTGTGTTTGAGTCTTTCTACAAAGATCTTGTCCTGGGGAACGCCAATCTGTATTTTCTTGGTACCGACTATTCAAAGACCAGACGGCGCATTTTATGCCCAAACCGTTGCCAGGTGGTCAAGAATCACTACTAAGGGCTTTGGATATGGTTCTCAAGGCAAGAGCAAGGGCGTCAACTAGAAATGTTGGGAAATTGATCCAGCGCAAATGGATTGAGAGAGAGCAGTTGGTTCAGAGTAACGAGATCTCGTTGGGATGGGTTCGCAATGCTGAAGTTGATGAGGTTGGGAGATTCACTAAGGAGGACAATCAGCAGTTGGAGTTGAGCGTTCTAAGGGAGTTGGGATATATTACTTAGCATCCTCTCTCTCCCTCTCTCTCTCCCCTGAGGCACCTGTTTGAATAGTGACGGTGCCATCATCTCGAATTAAACCTTTCCCTGTTGTCTACCTAACAACCTTCCTACCACAGCAGTATCATTACAATGCGCCCTCAGTCATCACTACTAATTGACTGATTTTCATATGCCTCCTACGCGCCCACGCTTTAGTAGTAACAGCCTAGCGTGGTCCTCGCGCTGTATCGGTACGCAAAATGATTCACTGTCTCGGCCTTAAATAGATATTTAAAGGCGTTGACGAAAATGGTTAAGCGCCTTCTTGGCGTAGGGTCTGGAAGAGAAAAGAATCAATCCTAGGGAATACTGCTTTCGCAGATGAGTGTACTAGAGACGGCTACCATGCCAATGTGCGAATAATCAGAGATTAATATAGTCAACATTTGAAATGTCATCCACCAATCAGGTCCTGTAGCTCAGTTGGTTAGAGCGTGGTGCTAATAACGCCAAGGTCGCGAGTTCGACCCTCGTCGGGACCACTTTTTTAATTCCTGCTATCAGGTATTAGCTACGTCAAAAATATGATTAGACATTGAAGCCAGATAGAACGAATCCATAATATAAGCACCCCACCCCCCATTAGTGTGTCTACACCTTTGGTGGCCTTGCGCCTATCCTCAGGTGACAGATGCATACAAAATATAGCATGCTTGCCGCCAAGTACTTTTTTCCCCTACGTTCTAGGGTTTATTAACTCACCACAATCTACTCCTCTTGTGATCCATCCTCTCTGTATGCTTACGCAGCGACGACTCTCTGGATGGAGTAGGACCATGTACTCAGTCCTTGTCCCACAGGCAAGAAATAGGTGGTCGGTTTTTTCATGGGACTCTGGCACCGGTGCAGGAAAGACCGGACATCAGTACTTCCTTCCAGGCATACATTAACTGCTTGTAGCTGATACACGCCTGGATGCCTGCCTGCAACTTCTCCAGCTCGCTGCCCCGCTCTGTCACATATAAGAGAGCTCTACGGTCAGTTCGCTGATCTGTTCGCTTTCACTACATCAACTGGTTGGCTGGTGAAGATGCGCTCTAGTGGCACCAGGAGACAATTCTCACTTGCGAGCGTTACCACATTGTCCTCAAATCAAGATGGCAGTCTATACCGTCCGATGTTTGGTTACATTACTTCGCATATGCAGGTGGAGGAGGAAGTGTACCACCTATAACAGGACCAATTCTGTTATGTTGAGCATGGGAAAGGTTGCATGGGGTGTGTTTGTTACTCTGATCAGATGCAGGCGTATTACAGCATAACTTTCTTTATTAACTTAGGTAAGGTTCAGGGTTATGGATACCTATATACAGTACATACACTACCATATAAACAATAGATTGGCAGACACAGGGCGTTGTATCCTAGTCCTGCTGTTGGCACATAGCTAGGGAAAGCAAAAAGTAAGGACCGCCTGGTATGATTATATGTACAAAGGCGCTGACTAACTAATAAAATCTTACTGAGAGCAATGCTTCATGGGATGCCTGCCTTGAGTAACCATAGTCCGGTTCTTTTGGATGAACTTTCCTGCACCTCTATTGAAATGCACAGACCACTATCCTCTGCGTACCTTGCCTCTCTCTTCTGGCCTACTAAGTTACCTACCACCATCACTCTCTTACACGCTCCTACGCTTTCCAGCTTCTAGGTCTACTTTGACCAATTCTAAACAAAGGTGATGAGGGTGTTTAAATATCGTGTCTAGCTAAACGTTGCAATGACTATCCACGGTGTCCCACACTGCTGATTGCGAGGTCATGATATGGCACATGATTTAAATTTTCTAATTCGTTTCCACTTCCACCACCAGTTCCCTTCTTATCCTCATAGCGTCTGGTTATTGTTCTGGATGCCTGGGTAGGCAGGAGGGTGACCAACATACGGCTTCCATTCTGGAATGGAAGAATGAAAAGAAAAGAAAAGGGGGAAAAAAAAAATCCATGGTCCCGACGAGGGTCGAACTCGCGACCTTGGCGTTATTAGCACCACGCTCTAACCAACTGAGCTACAGGACCTAGCTGGTGATGCAAGGGCGAGAATTTTAGATACATAAGATAGTGTATCCACGTGGGGCAAGCTACTAACACTTCAATGCATTCATTAGTGTGGTTTTGCCTGAATTTCAACGCATTACCTGGGAAATGACAAATTTTGCACAGGGAGATAATGTTTTATATGTCCCGTTATTTTCCTGATAATGTATATGATTATTATCCTGTAATTTAGCTATATACCCACGCATAGATAGTCCGCAGCCATTCAATCATTGAGCAGGCCAGTCACATGAGGGATATAACTGTAGCAAGTAGGCGGAGGGAGCATTGCCCCCAGCCCTCTAACAGACAAAGCGTACATAGTTATATCACTTAAGCTAGAATAACCCATCAACTGCAAAAGCGCAACAAAAGAAGTACAATATTCAAGAGAGAAGACTGTGGCTAACCCAACATCACTATAAAGGCGACTAGGTACCTAGGTAGATACCACTCTTTGGCTGTATATAACATCTATACTATTACTTCTAAATTCCCACCCCCTTCGCCCCTACTGGAGTGGTATCTATTGTCCACCAACCGTGGACCCTCTTCGAACGCTTCCCTGCCGAGATTATTTATCATATCATCTCCTACACAGTCAATTTTGTTGGCGTGGAAAACGCTTACTTTCAGCCTCCCAATGGGTGAACAGAGTCTTTAAGGAATAACCACGCATCATACTGGATGTGATAACATCAAACCCAATCACTGCAATGCCAGATATGCAATAACTTCCCAGGAACATAGTTATCGTCGAGAAGCTATCCATTGTGGAAGCTTCAAAAATATCTACGAACAACCCGCAGTAATGAAGTTGACCGACTTGGCGCTATCATTATTTCCCCGGAATCCTACCGCGGAAACCCGCCATCTCCTGCATATTGCAGCAGAACGCCAGCGTCTAGCACGTGCGTATCTTTATGTCGCACGGGAGAACGTTATTTCCGCCATGACAGACACCTTTGGCCTGCGGCAGCCAAAAAGGCAGCCAAGCCCTTATTTTGGGAGGAAGAATGCCGTGTGTACTGGACTCTGGAACTTGCAACAGTATTCCACATTTCTAATAGCCGCAGAAGGTATGCTGGGGATGGTCTAAACCATCAATGAAAGAGACGGTGCTTACATACATCTCATGGAATAAAATCATATCACTATTGCCGGAACAGATCTGGACAGTAGCTGTTATTCTATCTGATTTGGGGCTACGCCCACTGTATGGACATCCCATCGAAGATAAATGGAAACAGGGAGTTGGATGCGACGAGCCTGTCAAGGTTGCCTCGGCTTTCCCTCTTGACGCGCCAACCCCCTTTTTGCTTAACTGGACCCTTCCTCCACATCACCACTGTCCGATCTGGAGCCCATCAACCCACCCCCGAGGATAATAGCAGGATTAATGAAGCATGGGGTCGGAAACTGCGTCATCGTCTCTGGGAGACAACACCTGAAGCGATGATCCAATGCCATGCATCCATGACGAGATGACGAGAAACCGCCATGGATTGAAGACGAAGGTACCAGTCACCACACCAGAGGGAGGTACTGTCAGCGTAGAAAACTCATAGTTCGACTTGTCACTTTGGGATATCAGCGCCAGGTGGCTGGCCTTGGTTGGGAAGCCGCTTTCTCATCCCCGGCTCCGTTTTATCTCTAGTAGTAATCAAAGATCTCTCTAGCACCTAGGGAAGTAGTGAACCTAATGTAGGAGATGATCTGGGGCTAGACACCATTGTTGCCTGGTATAAAATAATTGGGGTTGAGGTCCCTCGCCAGCGAAGGAAAGATGGAGATTGCCATAAATGTGCCGATAGTACGAGAGGTACGAGATACATGCGTTACGTGTCACGGTGGCTGAGGATTATTGCAGTACGTAGTGCCAGATTTATAGAAGGGATCCGGCTCCCAGAGGAGCACTACGTACCATTGAACCAATCGAGCTTTTTTTTTTTTTTTTTTTTTTTTTTTTTCATTGAGATAATAACGTCCTAGTATTTTGAGATGCAATCTATGTAATCTTTGCTTTCCGTTTCTGTGCGCTAGCTATATATGTCAGAATAGTACTCCAATTCGTCATTCCGCAGATCAAGGGGGAACGATATCCAACGTTATATATTCGGAAGCTATCAGGGCTACCTGATTTCTTCACCGGACACGCCCAGGTCAGACCTAACTGATGACAATACCGTCAAACTTCTCCGACTACAAACCTGACCAGGACCAATTGTATAAATGAGCGTAGGACCTTTCGAGAATGAGATACATTCTTCCCATGCGTCGAAAGGCATAAGAGGACTATATACATACAACACAGAAGAGACGCGCAGTCCCTCTACACCTGAACTGGAGGTCGCACTAGACAAGTAGTTCAAGTCAACGCAGTGCATAGAGACACGGTAGGCTGGTTGTATACAGGAAAATACACACAGCTAGATCAACCCTCTTACTCCATTCTACGTAGCATCATATCCTCGTCAACGGTGGTTGTGCTGATCGTATTTGTATAGGTAGGCTGCGATGCATGAGCAAGGATGGAGATTAAAGAGCACAGCCCTGTATCACACTTAGTTATACATCCAGTGAATGGCCCTGTATTACAGGGAAAAAGACAGAAGCCAAGAAACCAGTTAAGTGTCAAGACCAATGCATAGTTTAAGCAGGTCTCTTAGCTCAAGATACAATGTGCATCAACTAGACGGATTATACTGCCATCTTGCACATCTAGTCAATCAAAGACGATGTCAAATCGACAAGGGCAAAAAAAACGCTCAACTATTTTCCTACTCGAGCAAATGGTCCCGACGAGGGTCGAACTCGCGACCTTGGCGTTATTAGCACCACGCTCTAACCGACTGAGCTACAGGACCTGATTGGTGGACCGGTTTCCCCTTATCAAGAAATAGAAAGCAAGGTTCGAGTATCAGTAGGTGTATTATCAGCAATAACACGATTCGTGATAACATGACCCTTAACATATGCGAGGGTTGAACAATAGCTTCTATTCAACATATGTATATAGTATGGATTTGAGCTTATATTATCAAAATGTGTTCTTGGAGTTTAGTCCCAGCCTGGTTGGATCTACCGTCATTAGGCCAGTCTCTTGCTGAGGACAACGCCATAGTAGATCGTAGCACCAAGACACACCAAGTTTAGCAGGCTAGATATTCCATGAATACGAGCAAACTTCTTGTTCAGAGCTTGCATTTCCTTGGAGTGGGGAGCAGGGTCGTAGCTCTTCTTGCCATCGCGGGTTTCTAGAAGTCACATCAGCACGACATGCGTGTAAAGATACTTGAAGGAGTAATCCAATTATCCTATTAGGGGGAGTCAGTTCATACCCTGGTGGTTTCTCTCTATCATGGTATTGACGGTGAGCGGACGCAGCACAAACATATTGATCAGCCCAGCAACCGCGGTCACGGCCAAGGGAAGAAGTGTCTTGCAGCAGTTCTCCGCATTCAGAAGCCCAGATACCCCAATGGGCTTTGCGTTCTTGCTGGCGGTCAGGGCTACTAGGACTGGCAGAGCTGACTGGAGAGAAAAGTAGATGGGGAATGTCGACCGTTGCAGGGCTGCGAAGTGTGGCCGCGGCAGGGACCTGAAGGCCACTATTCCAGAGACGAATGACTAACAAGTAAATGTCAGAAGTGACAACATGAAAGCTCGTGATTGTCGATGTCTACCTGGTAGAGTTGGACACCCAGGAGGGTACCATAACTAGTCAACGTCAGTCTGTCGAGATCATTTCAATTGGGGTGGAGCAAACAGACCTCACGATGTGAAATGGACGAGGGTCAATCATGTTGATGAGAAGGAAGGTTTTATCTCTAACTAACGGTGTATACTATGTAGTCAGGAGAAAAGTGTCTAGAAGAAGGTTGCGGATGATGTGATGTACTTGATGGAGGAACGGCCTGGCGGAACTGTGGAACTGTGGAGGTGGTACGATTCTCTTATTTTCACGTGGAAATTGTATGACAGAGCGCTAATGCCACAAACTATCCGGGCTCATATATAATGCCACTTATATACGGCTATACAGACGCACCTTTAGTCGCCATGATGTCATGTGCCTGCGCGTACCGCCTAGTCCCAGATTGGAAATATCGCGCGTCTGCCTGAACGACCGTGTCGCTCCATCCTCTGTTGCCTCCCCGTGTCTGCCTATTAAAGTGCGCACATCCAACAGAGGGCTCTCGGAGCTGTCTTCTGCTCCAGTTCCACCATGGCCGACAAGGAAGCAACGGTATATATCGTCGACGTGGGAAGGTCGATGGGGGTTCAGCGCAATGGCCGTTCAGTCACAGATCTGGAATGGGCCATGCAGTATGTCTGGGACCGCATTACGGTAACGGTGGGTACCTGGACTTTGATATCCTTTTGGACGGTCGACTAAGCCAAGATATAGGTCGCTACAGGACGGAAGACGGCCATGCTGGGCGTTATCGGACTTCGGACAGATGGTGAGGTTGCTCCTAAACAGATATACCACTCCACACTAACCGAAGGTAGGAACCTCCAACGAACTTGAAGATGATCCCCATTTCTCGAATATTTCGGTTCTGTCGAATATCAAACAGTATGTTCTACAAGTGATAATTGATAATTTCCATTATCCTAAGTGACGGTCAAGGTTTCTCATGCCAGACATCCGCAAGTTAGACGATGATCTCAAACCCAGCCAGACCGATAAGGGAGATGGTGATTGACCTCCAGCGTGTCCACAACAACTATATACTAATTCGTCTTCAGCCATATCCGCGATTGTTTTGGCTATTCAGATGATCAGCGTACACTGCAAGAAACTGAAGTACAAACGCAAGATCGTCTTGGTCACCAACGGTCAAGGTCGTATGAGCAATGAGGGCACCGACGAGATCACCAAGAAGATCAAAGAGGATAACATCGAACTTGTCATCTTGTAAGTGATCTGGAGATTCGCCACAGCCTGGGCAACAGGGACTTACTCTCTCTAGGGGTGCCGATTTCGATGACCCTGAATACGGTGTCAAGGAAGAAAACAAAGATGCCCGCAAGGTATAAAACTATACAAGTATTTAACGAACATCTTCCTGACAAAACATTTTAGGCAGAGAATGAGGAGCTCCTCCGAAATCTGGCCGAAAGCTGTGACGGGGCCTATGGCACTCTCGAACAGGCAGTGTCAGAATTAGACATTCCCAGAGTCAAAGTCGTCAAGTCAATGGCTAGTTTCAGGGGACACCTTCAACTAGGGAATCCCGAGGTGTACGAAACTGCAGTCCGTATCCCGGTTGAGAGATACTACCGGACCTATGTGGCAAAACCTCCCTCGGCGAGCTCATACGTTCTGCGCTCGGATCTTGCAGCTGGCGAAGAAACAGGCGGACAGCCCGAATCTGCTGCCGCGCAAGAAAACGAACCCGGGGATGGCAATACCCTGACGTCGGTACGAAATCTCAGAACATACCAAGTCACAGACGAGAGTGCTCCTGGTGGGAAGATCGATGTGGAGCGTGATGATCTTGCAAAGGGCTACGAATACGGCCGCACTGCAGTTCACATCGACACGACTGATGAGAACATCACTACACTCGAAACATTTGCGGGCCTAGAGCTGATCGGGTTCATTGCGAATGACCAGGTATGTTTGCACCCAACTGTTGCACTCGTCTGTCTAACATTTGCAGTATGAACGATACATGCACATGTCGAATACCAATATAATCATTGGACAGCGTGCTAACGATAAGGCAACCCTTGCCTTATCATCTTTCATCCATGCCCTATTCGAACTGGAATGCTACGCGGTAGCTCGGCTGGTGACGAAAGAAAACAAGCCGCCGATAGTTGTCTTGCTTGCGCCGTCTATAGAGCCAGATTATGAATGTCTTCTCGAAGTTCAGCTTCCTTTCGCCGAGGACGTACGGACGTATCGCTTCCCTCCACTTGATAAGGTCATTACTGTCTCTGGAAAGGTTGTGACCCAACACCGGAACCTTCCGAGTGACGACCTGCTCGATGCGATGAGTAAATACGTGAACAGCATGGAACTTGTCAACACAGATGAGGACGGGTGAGTAGTCAGGCTGATTTGTGATGTATTCAGGAGTCCCGGAGTTGACGAAAACAGTGACCCAATAGAAGGCCTGCCGATTGAGGATTCCTTCTCTCCAGTGTTGCACCGAATTAATGCAGCCATCCGGTCCAGAGCCATACACCCGAACGAGCCTATCCCGCCTCCTTCAGAAAGACTGACAAAGTTCTCGCACCCACCGGACGAACTGGTGGAGAAATCCAAAAAATACCTAGAAAAGCTCATGGAAGTTGCCGAAGTCAAGAAAGGTCCGTGGACAGCCCTCAATTACACCAGCTTTGCTAATTAAGAACAGTGCCGCCCAAAACCAAAGGGAGAAAGCGCACCCGTGAAGCCGAAAAGCCTCTGTCCGGCCTCGATGTGGATGCCCTACTTCATCAAGAGAAGCGGACGAAGATCACCCCCAACAATGCCATTCCCGAGTTCAAGCAGGCCGTGTCTCAGGCCGAAAACATTGATGCAATCAAGAATGCTGTGACGCAGATGACCACGATTATTGAGGACCAGATCAAAAACAGTCTAGGCGATGCCAACTATGACAGAGTCATTGAAGGGCTGGGGGTAACGAGAGACGAGTTGATATCTTTCGAAGAGCCAGGTATCTACAACGACTTCCTGAAACAGCTGAAGGACAAGATCCTCAAAGAGGAACTCGGCGGTGATCGACGAGAGCTGTGGTGGCTTGTACGAAAGAGCAAACTGGGCTTGATCAACCAGCGCGAGTCGGATCAGTCACGAGTGACAGAAAAGGAGGCCAATGAGGTAAGTCGCATATTAAGCGGATCTAAGCGAATCTATGGACCGACAAGACTTACTAACTCATCTATCAAGTTCTTGTCGGCAAAGTAGCCCGGAGTTAGGTAGATAGAATGAAATGGTCTCCATGAATGAAGCTGATCAAGAGCAACTCTATGGCAAGGACGAAAAAGTACTCGCTAAAACCAACAAAACCGCTTCGGATGAATGCGCAACAAGAATGTATCAACATTAGCCTATGTTCAAGACAATGGAAAGGATCAGGAAATCTTCCCAATTCTTTTCTTGCCGATATCGACTTTCTTCTGTAGTCTGCCGAACCATTAGTATAAGTCCATGTGAACAACTGGAAAGAATCCATACCTGTCCGCATCCTCATCGGTCAGCTTCAGCAGTTCGTTCTGGATCTCCAATTCCGCATTAATCGCAATTCCCAGCTCCTTCTGCCGGTTGACAATCTTCATCAGCTCCCCCACACTCTGGTCCTGTTCCTCCATCGTCTGCCGCTGCAGCTGCAGTACGCCCTGGTTATCCAACTCGCGTGTCCTCTCCGTTTCCTTCCCGAGCACCCTCCCCCGCGCAGGTTTCCTACCGGCACCACCGATCAGGGCTTCCTTATCCTGGATTGAAGCCACCGCCTTATCCACTTGGCTCTTCGCCGCCATGGCATTCAGCAAGTCCTCCAGTCCATCCCTCTCCTTCCGGGCATTGATCACAAGATCCTTTCGCCGACGCAACTCGCCCTCGCCCAACGAGCTCCCTCCATTCATAGCCCAAGCGCCACGACGCGCATCCCCATTCCGTCCTGCGGCGCTGGGGCTTTGCGTCCGACCACTGCTAGCCTCTCCAATATGCTTCAGGCCCTCCTCCAGAGCAGTGATCAAGCTCCCCGCCCGCACGAGACTACTTTTCGCCTTCGCGGAGCTTTCATGCTGCTTCTGCGGGGTGGTTTCCTGGTCTCGGCGCGTGAGATGGAGCCGCGCATCGTGCAGGTGCGATTTCATGTCGCGGTAGCAGTCGAGCCACAGCGTAGGGTCGGTGATGGGGGCGTGCGAGCCGGCTGGGTTGCCGGGCTCGGTGATGGCCGCGTGGAGACGGGCGGAGGTCGTGGATCCATTGCCGTTGGAGCTGGCGGTTGCGGCACTGGGGAGGTTGAGAAAGGCACGCCAGGCGGGGCAGTTGCGCCAGCGCGAGTCGTCCGCTTCGTTGATCGCGCGGAGATATGCTTCGAGACCCTGGCGGCGGTCTTCGCGGAGCGAGGCGTTGGAGACGGTGTTGGAGAACCAGGACTTGGAGGGTAGGGGGACGGGTGGGGCGGCGTTCGTTTGCTTGACGAGGTTTGCGTGGAAGGCGGCAAAGTCGGAGTATCGTTTTGCGACGGTGAAGGAGCGGAGTGGGAGCCGGAGGGTGATGTGGTAGACGGTGTATGGGGGGGAGGTCGGAGAGATGCTCGTCGTTGGGATGAAATTTCGAGGCTGGGAGCATGATGTTCTTTTCCACGGGGTGGGGCGTGAAAAGCTTGGAATGGGGATTTCTTTTGACTCCGAGAGTCAGGCTGTTTGGTCCATGGATGGAGTACGAGTTGTTGAGTTGGAGAGTCGACAGAGAGGAATCAATCAATGGGCGGATGACTGATAAGGACGTCAGGTGCTTCCGCGCCTAACATGACGCAACGATCGTCGGCTTGCTGATTGGGAATAACCGCCAGCATTGTTTGCGCGTCGTCGTTTCTACAATTTATTCGGAGTATATAGAACACAATTCATGTTGAAGATACATGCCGCCTATAACATAGTGGATTGTAACGCAATGCGCATTGGGTATCTTGAACTCTTGCCTGACAACTCGGCATCGCGACATCTAGACTACAATTACAATTTCATATCACAGAATCGTCTGTCAGTTCACTCTTCGGGGGATACTTCCCATAACTCGCGAGCCTGGAGTAGGTCTCGCTGGCCGTAATACTGTCCAACCACAGTAATGATCATGTCCAGCATGGCTTTGGTCTGCGTAGCCACGTCCACAAGCTCACACTCTGTTGTTGCTGCCTCCACTGGGGGTTCGTCAGCTGGTAATGGAGCCTGATCTTCGCCTCCTTGTAGCTTCGCTTGTAGTCTGGCTTTCGCCTGCTCTAGCTCGTCTCCCTCGGCAGAGTTGTTCTCTGCATCTGGCATGTCCAGATCCCTTTTGGGGACTCCATCATCACCCTCCACGGGGCCATTGCCAAAGTCCGACTCATCGTCCGACGTTTCACCATCCTGAGCAGCAGCCTGGTTCTTCGAGAGCTCCTCCTCCTTCATTTTGCACAGAATCTTGGCGGCCCGTTTTCCCAGATCCCGGATTTCCCCCACCTCCTCTGTCCCCAGCTGTCCAACATCCCGGCATTTGCCCAGTAGACCCCAGGCCCAGGCTCCCATCCGTCGAACCCGTTCGGCGCTGCCGCTCCGGACATTCTCGGATATGAGTCGCGCCATGATCCCCAGTACGCCCAGAACACTATCCATGTCCATGCAGGCCAGCTGAACGGTCGATGGATCCACTGCGAGAAGCAGGTGCCGCCATTCCTTGCGCGCTGTTTTCGAGTGTCGCGGGAAACTGATCGGGTGTAAATCATCCAGGGCGGTGATCGCCTCGGGGGGTGGGGTACATTTCAGAATCGATCGAAGAAGAAGAAACCGATGGTGGAGGAGATTGTAGTAGCTGGCTTGCGCGTCGGAATATGTGGCTTCGAGGACGTCCGTGGTCGAGATGGTCGCATTTTGTGGCGCGACATAGACTCCATCCACATACACTCCCTCGCGCACGGGAGGTACACCTTTTTCTTCTCGTGGGTTGAGGTCGCCAACGGCGCTGTCATCCGGCGGCCGGGCTGTCTCGGTCTCTGGTGCTGTCGGCTGCGGTGCAGTAAATAGAATAGGTAAGGAGTTTGCTTCCGATCTAAATTCCAAATTCAAGAAATGTCAGTCTAGGTCCCCCAAAGGAAGTGAACAGGGCGAAGAGTCCGTTCGTCGTCGCGAGCTGGAACGGGAGAACAACCAGACTTAGCACGCCAGACGTTTAGAACGCGAAAAATTGTGGCTTACCTGACCATGCGAAGATACTCCAGCCCATCCTCTGCGGGTCCATAGAATAGCTCATCATCATTCACGCTGTCGAGTCCGGGGAAAGCGCTCTTTTGACCGTACACCGGATGGTTGCGAGGCCGCTCATACGGCGTCACAGTCTGCGACATGCCGTCTTCCTCTCCTTCCTCGTGATATGTACAGTATCGTTTGGTATGGGGGTAAGCTGTAGCGCCAGGACTGGAAACTTTTCGCTTGGCGGGCATGGTGATCAGGGCCAGAAGATTGAGCTGGTCGGGTCGAGCGTATGGAGGTGATGCCTTGTCGAACATTGATTGTGAAGAGTTAAGCTTGGATTATGTTGCAAAACGTTGAAATCTCCTATGAGCAGCTGGTCCTGTAGCTCAGTCGGTTAGAGCGTGGTGCTAATAACGCCAAGGTCGCGAGTTCGACCCTCGTCGGGACCATTTTTTTTTTTCTCCTTTCATCTGCCATGAATAAAGGCCAGCCAATGTTGTCTTGTCATCCTTTTTGCCCATACATTTCCAACAGGCGCGCAAACCACGCTTCCACACATTCATCAAGACCAAGTATATATAGCCTTTTCATGTCTATAAAAAAGAAGAAACACCAGCGACCTTTCTTTCCCACGACTATAACATACATATGCAAACTACCTGCAGGCGACCGCCGTCCTATTGACATGGCCAATATGCTCTCTCTGATTGAGAAGCCCATTGCTCCTGAAACTGGTGGGTGGGCCAAGGGAAAAAGCAGTTAAACGAACACTGCTGAAGCGGGTACGTCAGTTCTGATATAACTGTATCAATACCAGGGCCATAAATCGCCACTTTCTCGGTAACTAGCCCCCCCACACTAGTTTAATTAAGAACGCCAATCTTCAACAAAGGGTCGATAGATCAGTGGTAGATCGAGAGATTGCAGTGTACTGAATCATCTCCAGGTCGTGGGTTCGATCCCCACTCGGCCCTTTCCTTTTTGCCATTCTGTTTTTTGCCCTCTAAACATTGACCATTTACCCACCACAAAGATATATATATATATACATTGTCTAGTCTCCAGTTGTGTCCCAGTTGATGAATGCAAAATGGACGTGAGACGACAGCCTAATTAGCGTGAAAACTGGCTGAATTAGTCAAACCAGGACTATATTAACGCCCGTATATACCCAACTCTTCCTTGAACCTGTTTCTTACCATCCCTTATCCTCATCAATACGATGATGTGCCAACCTTTTCTGCCTCCACCTCCTGAAGGGGTCAACTTTGCGGGCCAGACAGTGCTGATCACGGGCGGAAACTCAGGCCTGGGCCTCGAAACCGCCCGTCAATGCCTCGCCCTCCAAGCAAAGCGAGTAATTATCACCGTCCGCTCTGAGGCCAAAGCCCAAGATGCTCTATCAACACTAAGAGCCAACCCGGACGTGCGCGGTTCCAACCCAGATGCAACGCTCGATGCATTCATCCTAGATCTCGACGACTACCAGTCTGCCATTGACTTTGTGCACAAGGTCAAGCAGGAGGTTGCTGAACTGGACGTTCTCCTGTGCAACGCTGGAACTTGTATGCCCGAGTATCAGACCAGCAAAAGCGGTCATGAACGGCACATGCAAGGTCTGTAGGCCGATTTGCCTCCTACCTATCTCCTTCGGGACGGCGCTTTCTGACCATTATCCAGTCAATTGCTATTCCCAATTCCTTATCGCCCTGGAGCTGCTGCCTCTTCTTCGTGCCACCACGGCCATGCGAAAGACGCCCTCGCGATGCACCATGGTCGGATCCTACTCTCACGCGAACAACTCCCTGGCAGATCATCCTCTGCCAGATGGTGTCTCCGTCGTAGAACACTTCGACAACCCGGCCAACTACGTCAAGTTCAAGCAGTATATGAACAGCAAGCTTGTTATGCATGCCTTCGTCCAGCATCTGGCCACGCTTGTGCCCGCGAACGAAGTCATTGTGAACGCACCGTGTCCCGGAGTCGTGGCCACCACGCTGATGAAGGGCTTCCCGCTGTGGCTCCGCGCGATTATATTCGTATGGCACAAGACGATGGGCCGGTCTGTGGAACAGGGGGCGCGTGCGCTGATCTATGCTACTCGAGTGGCAGGTGAGGAGACTCACGGAAAGTACCTCTCTAATAATGAGGTGGCTAGGTATGCTTTCCTCTGCGCCGGTTCTTCATTAGAAACATGAACTGATGGTTTTTTAGTGCAGCGAGTGTGTTGAGTGGGAAGGACGGCCAGGAATTTGCCAGGCGGGTATGGACGGACTCCTGCAGAGAAGTCCGCAAAGTGAAACCGGATATACCGATTCCAGAGTAGGTGTGCTGTTCCGTGATGTCATCTCTGTATAAGAATTTGTAGTTGCATATATATTCTCGTTTTTGCTTTTGGCTAGATGGACAGTGAGTACTATATTGATGGTATCTTCGATATATAAACAAACAAACGGAAAGAAGAACTCAGCTGGCTAGTCTATGATGCATCTTCTCCTAACATCAATCTATCTATTCAAGAAATGTAGTCGAGCCTGTACAAGCCTTTATGCTCAGACCTTCCATTGCGAGGTCTTCAGACCATACTCGACCGCCTTCTGGACGTTGTCCACGATGGTCTCGGGTGTCCACGTAGGCTGACCTCCACTATACACACCGGTCCGCACAAGAAGCGAGTGCCACTTGCTGCCATGCGGACTGCGGTACGTGTTCGCGCCCTGGATGTCCGACTCCGGGTTGTCACCGACCATGTAGACGTTCCGAAGAGGAATATCTGCCGACGGACCAAAAGCACGCGACCGATTCCGTAGCATCTGGTTCTCTGCAAACTCATACGTACCCTGGTAGGGCTTTCCGATGATCGTCTTCTTCAACTCAGCACCTTTACCGGGACCTCCTGTAACAGCAGCCCATACACCTTCCAGTGCCTCGCGGAATCCGCCCTGACCGAGGCGTGGAAGATGGTACGCAGCCGCCCACCACAGGTCCGGGTTTGAGAAATACAGGGGCGGCTGACCGTCCTGCAAGTATCCTCGATTGGGGAGGTCGGTTCGACCGTTCTTCTCCGAAATGGTACCCAGGATGCCCTGCGATGACAGTAGAAAGTCTATAACTACCTGAGCATCCAACGCCCAGTCTCGAGGGTCGTTGTACACAAAGATCGCGTCCACCTTGAGGCCCTTGGTGGGGTCGCTGGGATCATGAGGCTTTGGCAGCGGTCGGGCGAACTTCTTATAGTAATCCTGGAAGACCTTGGCAAAGGGCCAGATGGTTGGGTTTGCCATGAAGATATCTCCGGGAGTCACTACATTCTTGAACCCATACCTGTGCGTGCGTCAGGACTGACCGGCCCAAATAGAGGGATTCCGGGAGGAAAATGTGCATACTGCTCTGCAACTTGGCGACAACGATCGCCATCCCCTCCCACAACCAGAACGCATTTGTTCTCCAAGGAGCTCTGCTCGTCCGGCCCCCGCACCAACTCCGCAAAGGGGGAATGACTCTGCACGATCACCGAGGGGTCCAATGGGACCTGTAGTTTGTCACTAATCTCCGCCACTCTTTCGGTCTCGTGTTTGCCGCCGCCATTGGTGAGGAGGATAAAGGGAATGCCCTGTTCTTTCAGAAGCGCCAACGACTCCGCGGCGCCGGGAATGGGTTTGGCAGAACGGAGGAGGACGCCGTCAATGCTAAGCAGGGCATCAGCTATCGAGAAAGCGGGCGGCGACTGTACGTATAAGAAAGGACATCATTCACATACTCAAAGGCAAACGCAAAGTCCGGAACTCGTGGCTGGGCACTGGCTGTCTGGATGGACCGATAACCGCAATGCGTCACACCCGGA